ACCCTGTGGCCGTAACAGAGGCCTTATCTCAAACATACAAAAAACTAAATTGGCGCACCTTATTTTCCTAAATTAAGCAAAAAAAAAAAAAAAAAGATGTAGGCCATCAAAACAGAGGGGGTGTACTTCGAAACAAGTTTGATCTAGTCGGGATTTCTTTGCTTTAGCTGACTCAATCAGACTATGTTGCTGCTCCCATAAAGGGGATGCCTCACATCACTCCCCTTCCAAACAAACTGGATTGATGGTGTGCCGCCTACTTCAGTCAACAGGTTGTTATAACGGAGAGCTATGAGGAACATAAATACATATTAATGTAAAAAGCACTGCTAATGTAAATGATACAACAGAGAGATGCTGGTAGAAACTTTACACTTCACTCATTTAAACTTGATACTCAGTAAGTGCATTTAGGTCTGACACTGTCCCATAATTAAGGACTTTAAAAAAAAATGCTTTCATTTTAGGCCAAATTAAGTGAAATTAATGTTATAAACTGTGGAAGATACAAATAGAATACAAATGCATGTGGGTTCCTATCGCAACATGACACATAGAGTTTGCCTACTGTAACTGCACGGGATTCAGCGGGATCACTAACATACACCTCAGCAGGTCTGCAGAGATCACTTATTTCCTCAGCTAAGAATCTGTGTTGCTCATAGAGAATATGTTCCGTAAGAGAATTGGTCAAAGGGAGAAACTTCTTGCAACCAATTTAGATCTCATCCTGAACAGAACCTCCTCTGGAGCAGGCAGTAGCCACCTTTGCGACACTGAAAACTCAAAATACTTTGCTAACCCATTAATTCCCACACTGTAGAAAAGCATCCTAGGGCTCATGTTGCAGCACACAGTAACTTGGTGTATGCATGTACCGTGGAATTCCACAGGAAGGTGAAGACTTTATTACATGCAAAAATTAGGTTTTCTTCAGTGTCACACCAATAGTAGTCAGTACATCCAGTCGTACGTGCCAAAAGGTGTCAATAGCTAATTTGTTTTTCTTAACTCCATGACACATAAACAAATACAGGCTGAAAAACAAGGCAAACTTTGCATCCCACAGTGTAACTCCCTATATCTGTGGCAACATTTAATTTGTAAGGTCAAGGTGTGATGCTGGTTCTTGTAGAAGTTTACAGCTGGTCAACAGGTGAGTTCCAAACCCATACAAGGAAATAAAACAGGAATTTGCCCCAATAACCACAAGGGAAAAACAAAACAAAACAAAACACCAGAATAAAGAAAAAACAAAACAAAAAGTCAAGTCACATTTTTATACAGCACATTTCAAACAACAATTGTTACACCAGAGTGTTTTCCAGTAAAAAAAAAAAAAAAGTGACTGGCTTTACATATTGCTCGAATTACAGAAGTTTACCAAACGAATGTAATAATTAATCACAATTATCTGACTTTGATGTGGGTGACATGTACTTGTGAAGGTGATCCCACTCCTAGTAACTAATTTTCTACAAAATAATTGGAGTAATAAAACTTTTTTTTTTCACATTATTTCATATGTTCTTTATTTTCTGTGGCAGATATAAATTAATAAAGATCCAAACTTGCAGGTGAACATGAAGTGTAGTGACAGAAAGAAAGCGTAGTGAGGAATGTTAGAGTCTTTAGTCTGTGACCCGGCCATTCTATCTGACTGCTTTCCCCCCTCTGTCCGACTGCAGCTAATGAGAGCGACAGCTCCCTCTTGAAAACCTGTGGGAAAGCCATCTCTAAGCTCTTGTGCTGACTCTAAAAACAATTTGCTGTACAAATTCCCAGAGATTGGATTTGGGTACCTCCTGTGTTGGTTTACCTACCTCCAGTGACTGGGCAGTAACATGCTGTTCATACGCTTGAATAGATCTCCCACTCTGTCTGTCTGGCTCTCTTCCTCTCAGTTTATCTATCCATCTTTCCATTTTCACTGACTTCCCCTGTTTTTCTGCCCCCCCCCCCATCTCGTTTTATTTTTCCGAAGCCTTCCTCACACACTGACTTGCTTTCTGTTCATCTCCATTAAATAATCTTGTTTCTTTTTATTGTTAAGAGACAGTTTCCTGCAAGACTGTGCTGTTTTTTTCACTCTAAAAAGGAGTTAAAGGAAAATAATGCACTTAACGACTGAAGCAAATAAAAACTAAATTAAGAAATAGGGCATGTGGCCAAGAACCTGAGAATGACTTAGGCATTAGGATCACACAAAACAAAGGCACAAATCCAAAGTTTACTCAGCAAGCTTGAGGGCACACACATGAAGGCAGTCGACGAGGCAAACATTTTCAAAATCTAAAGCAGACTGTGAAAGCAAGACCTCTAGATATACATTTACAAAGTTCCTTAACGATTGGGTCCTTCCTCTCTCTCCTCCACCCTCCTGGGTTTAAAAATTTTACAACAATGGTTTTGGGTTTTCTTTATTTCTCTGGGCTCAGTCTTTAATGAGAGAAAAGGGTGACAGTGGTTTACACTGTGGCAAGAAAATATACAGATATGTTGGTGTTACATGAAATATCAAAGTGATGGAATCGAAAAAAGTAGGACTTGGAGTTTTTACATGGGATGAAAAACTGTACCATGAGTTTAAACTTACAAACTCATTACAACAAGCCAAATAGTTAACAGTTTGTTATCACAGTCATGTTATAAATAAGCTGTAATTATTCTTCTTCTCTGTGAGAGAGGTGCCGAACAAATTTTGTCCCTCTCCTCATTGCATGATGACCTTTTATTTTCCATATTGCGCACAATATTACATTTACCAATGACCCAGCAATGTGTTTGTTTTATTATTTCATGCACAATCCATCCATTATCTGTACGCCGCTTAATCCTCACTATGGGGGCTGGAGCCCATCCCGGCTGACTCAGGACGAAGGCAGGGGACACCCTGGACAGGTTGCCAGTCTATCACAGGGCTACACTTAGAGACAGACAACCATACACACTCACATTCACACCTACGGACAATTTAGAATCACCAATCAGCCTCAGCATGTTTTTGGACTGTGGGAGGCAGCCGCAGAACCCGGAGAGAACCCACGCTGCACGGGGAGAACATGCAAACTCCACGCAGAAAGATCTTCTAGCTGCAAGGTGATGGTGATAACCACTGATCCACCTTGCAGCCCTGTTTCAGGCACAATGACCCTGACATTATTTGCAGTATTTCCATGACAGCTGCAAAAATCTAGCAACACAGAATGAATCATACTTACAAAGGTGCAGGCTGAGTTCAGACTCAGGAGCAGGGTAACGTGTGTAGGACACCAAATGGAAATTAGCCTTGTGCTAAATCCGGCATATTTGCTGCAACCTGAGATTGTACGTACATTAATATGCACTGTCTCATTTAAATAAACAAATAAATAAATGAACGTGATGCACAAGGATTCGGCATCAAAGAAGAAGAATGACTTGGAAGGTTGGCTGCAGTGAGCACAAAGACAGCAGAGCATCTGAAAGAGGTGAGCAGAGAGGAGCATATGAAGGGATTGGATGACTGCTGATGCACAAAACTAGTAGGGAACCAACAAAGACCTGAAGGAAAACATACTGGAGTGCATGAATTTAAGTCATTACAAAACCAAAAGCCGACAAAAAGACGATTTTGCTCATTAAATAAACCATCAACTCGGCAAGTAAACAGGCAGATAACAGGAACAAACAGAAACCACTCTGAGTTCAAAGGGTTAAAGGGCCTAATAGTTATGACTGAGCTGAACAAGGAAGGTTTGCTCCCTCATTATCTTTCTTGTTCCTTCTATGGCTGAATATGTGCTATTCCTGGTGCTCTATTTTCTTCATTACGTCCACTTTCCCATGCTTCAATCAGAATTCTGATATCACTGTACTTGTCAAATTATCTTTCAGCCCACATCCTTCAATCAGTTCCTGTTTACTTCCTGCTGTAATTGTACCATTCTGTCCTTCAGACCTTCTAAGACGTAAATCTCCTCCTGCCCATCAAAAGCTTGTTGTTCTGGAAGTCCAGTGATTCTCAAAAGAAGTTTCCACCAACGATCCACTAACTCTTCTTACTTTCTTAGTCTAATTGGCCAAAAAAAAAGTATTTCACTTCAACAAAGTATTTCTTTTTGACTTTCAGATATTCTCCTGTTAAACTGTTGAGCTACTTTTAGAGCTTCTAAAACTCTACTTTATTTAGGAATTCAGGGTCCAACCTAAAATGTCACATGCTGCCAGCCATTACATCCAGCACAGCAGGTTACTTCTGCAGGACTTTCTGCTCTCCTTTTTAGCTGACACATGAAATCATTCAAATGACAGCTTCCGTACAACATTTTATATGCAGAGATTTACTATAATGAAAAAAATACTATGATATAGTAAGAAAAACTATAATGAATATTTGTATTTAAAAATTGACAAAACACAGCTACAGAAAAAAAGCGTGCATTACAGCTGTCTGTTATTTAATATGACTTGTTTGAGGTACTTGGATGGATCAGTGCCACTGAGCAACAGCACTCGGCCTCGCAGGTAGCAATGCATCATCATGAGCGTCACGCCTCACTGCCAGTTAGACTACAAATGGCAGTGCATCAGTGGTCGCTGCTTGCAAGGCTGCTTTGAAAATTGTCACATTAATTCTGACCGTGGGCCCAATGTTGACTTCTACTGTATAACAGATTACCCCTGCAGGAATGCATTAAGGTGTTACTCAAAGCCCAGCAAGTGGGACTCTCCACTATCTAAATCAGGTTCTTCTGAGCACCACGAAGCTTTGATCCACTTCAGTTGGTTTTACTCGTTTCCCCCAATGCTGATGTTTTCCAGACAGCCAGTTTATGCTGAACTTTAGATACAGTCGTCCTCAAATTTATTCATACACTTCCATTAAGGAAGAAAAAAAAACAGCTGCCACTGAAATAAGTTGAAATTAACAAAAGTAGTAATAAATAAAAAAAATAATAATGAAAACCATGATATTGCTTTTGAATTGTGGTTCAACAGAAATATTTAAAAACAACAACAACAACAACAACTAGAAAATTTCCTTGCAGAAAATTTGAGAGTGGCACGGGAGTGTGCCGGGATTTAAATTAAGATTTTATAATTACCAAACCTACTAAAAACTATGAACAACCTAAGCCTCATCTGTGTGGAGAGAGCAGAGGGGGAGGGGGAGTTGAGAGCAGGGTCAGAGCGTTGC